CCTATTGATGTATATTGTGTTGGTGATCGTTGAATTGACTTGACTCCGGGTTCGAGGGTTTTGAATACGGACCCAGAGGTCACCCTGGCCCTCCAGGTCAGCCTGTGAGTATGACCTTTCACCTTTGACCTTATCTCTGACCATAACCAGTCTGACCCTAACTCCAGCCTTTCCCTCCTTCATCCTAGTCCTCATCCTGAGAAAATAGGCTGCGTTCCAAATGGCACCGTTGTTCCCTATTTAGTGCCCTATGGGCCCTGGTCAAAATGAATGCACTCTGTAGGGAATAAGTCGCCATTTGGGATGCAGCAAAAAGACTTCCTCCTTACTATACTGTAGGCCTCGAGGCGTTGTAGCTGTAGCTTCAATACTCATTAAAACCTCATTAACCCTGACCTCAACTCCAACCTGTCTCCACTTGCTGCTAACAAACTGTTATGTTAATGATACATATTTTAACATCACATTAAATATGTTAACATCACATTAACGTCACATTAAATATGTTAACATCTTATCAGATTAGAAGACATTAGGTATGCTTCTGTCTGCCGATGTCACATCTTTCAACATGATATCTGGGACCTGCGGGTGTTACATGTTGGTTACACCTGTTCTAACCCACACAACACACACACACACACACACACACACACACACACACACACACACACACACACACACACACACACACACACACACACGCTACGCGCACGCACCACACGCACACCTATATAACCCTAAACCTAACCCTAACCCTAATCCGTACTCTTACCGTAAACCTAACCTTAACCCTAACCCTAACCCTAACCTTAAACCTAACCCTAGCTCCTAACCCTAACCCTAAACCTAACCCTAGCTCCTAACCCTAACCCTAAAACTAACCCTATCTCCTAACCCTAACCCTAACCCTAATTCTAACCCTAACACTAATTCTAACCTTAACCCTAAACCCCCTAGAAATAGCATTTGACCTCGTGGGGACTAACAAAATGTCCCCAGTTAGTCAAAGTTTTGTTTGTTTACTGTAGTTAAACACATACACACACACACACACACACACACGTAGCAGAACAAACCTAATCAAGTGAAGCAAAGGAAGGAGACAAAGATAAACTAAAGTAAACCTTGTGGCTGCATCTATAAAGCTGTTGTTTCATGGTGGAAGGAAGCCCTTGCAGTCATCAGGTTAGCTCATCAAGCTTGTTGATATCTGGAGTTTACTGGATGGAAATGTGACAATCTAGACTTAGGTTAATATCTCTTCTTCCAACTTATTTGGTTGAATGACAGTGTGAATATATTAAATCAGTGTCCCCTTTTTTCTAAACCCCATGAGTTATACATATAACCCTATAAATTTTAACCAAATATTGCATCTACTTTAACTAAACCATCCGTAGATTACCTATATTAAAGTCCATATCAACTGTCTTTCTACCTATTTAACACGTTACACCCACCATCACAAATCACATGAACAACTAGCTGAAGAAGAAAGTAAACAAGTAAACCTTTGGCGCAATAAAAGCGTGTTTCATGGGAAGAGCCCTGCAGTTCATCGTAGTCACACATTGTTCCGATATCGGATTAATGGATCAAGTGCATCCTAGTTCAGGTATCCCTTCTCAACTATTTGGTTAATGAGTTGTCAATTTATATCATATCCTCTTCCCCTGTTTCCCCTCACCTGTTCAAATTCATCTCCTTAATCCGTTTCCCTCTCCTCTCCCTCTCTCCATTTACTGTTTCCTCCCTGTCTTCACCTTTCCGTTCCCTGTTCCTCTTACACATTTCCCTGTTTCACTCTCCCTGTTCCTCTCTCCTTTTCCCTGTTTCCTCTCCATGTCTACCTTCCTTTTCCCTGTTCCTATCCCTGTCCTCCTCACTTACCTGTTTCCTTCCCTGTCTACCTCTTCCCTTTCCCTGTTTCCCTCTCCCTGTTCCCATCTTCCTTTTCCCCTTTCCCTCTCCCTCTCCTCTTAACCTTTCCCCTTCCCTGTTTCCCTCTCCCTTTTCCTCCTCTCTTCTCCTCCTCTTTCCTCCCTCCCCTTTCTCCCCTCTTCTCCTCCTCTCTTTCCTGTCTCCCCCTCTTCAGGGTATCCGAGGAGTGGATGGAATCCAAGGTTCTAAGGGAAACTTGGTGAGTATGATGATTGAGACATTCTAGAACCCTAACTGTTCATTCTAGAACCATGTGTTTACATAAACTGGAAGTGTGTCAGAGCGGTATCCATGATGTAATTTCCTCTCGCTACAGGGACCTCCGGGGGAGCTGGGAGCATCCGGGCAGCAAGGAAACCCTGGGTTCCAGGTACACACACACACACAACACACACTAGTGATGCGCAGGTTGACTCATAACCCACAGTCCCCGCGGTTATATCCGCGAGGTGGGCGGGTTTAGGTTCATTAAATATTGTGTGGATGAAGAGCGGGTGGGTGGTGGGCAGGTTGAATAAAGAGAAAACAATGCATAAAAAAATCCATACATTTATAAATCTTGTGCAATTCATATCTATAGGCTACATTGAGGTTTTTCTTTCATTATTTCTCTATCTGCCGTTAGTCCGTAGCCTGAGCATAAGCTCTAGGGCAAAACTGTAGCGAGCCAAATACACACCACTGAGGCAAATAGGACAATGATGGAGTTGAATTCACCTAGAGAAAAGATGTGAAATGGAGAGTTGAAAATAAATATAAGGGAGGACCAGAACAGTAGTCTAATGTTTTGAGAAAGATGTGGCGAAGTGGTAAAAGAGGATGACGGCACGTCAAGGGAACTGATCAGACGGGTTAAACGGAATAGTAGCCTGTCTGAAATCTGGACACTGACTCTAGGTCTATAACCTCTCACATAGCCTAATACAGTATTAACTCCTGCAGAATTAAGCATTTCTTGCAGTAAAATTATACACCAAATATGTACATTTTGACTCAGAAACAGGAGTGGAGAAATACAATTTATTTCTTTCAGCATCTTGACAGAATGAATGAGCGGTTAGGGACCGTTTGTAAAGGTGATAGTGCTATCTTTATCAGCATCATAAAAGCTGATCGTTTTTCAACCACATAAAATATGCATTCAAGCTGAACTGAAATCTTATCAAAAACATGTTGGGCCTTTTTAACAGCTTTTAATTTCCTTAAAACCGGTCAAAGTGATTTCATTTGGAAATTTTGCACGGAAAACCTTTCCCGTTTTGTTTAGAGTTATTGCATTTTCTCCCCGGTCCCTAAATGTCTTTGCTGTGCGAGAGAAGCAGAGATGGAAGGGAAAGGAACAACTTACCTGCAACGAGATTGAGCATCATTCTATTGATTTATGACATTCTGGTGAGTAAGTCCTCTAGGGCAAAAAGTAATGACAGAAGAGAAGCTGCATGTATCTAATTATAGAACAAACTAATTATTGACTAACAAATAGCTTACCAACATTTCGGAAATTATAAGCAGAAACACAGGCCTATCTAAAAAGGTCTGTCCAAAACCTGTTACGCCATCTCTGACTGTACAGTGCATTTTCTATATTAGCGGGTTAGGGCCGGGGTTCACGTGATCACATTATGTGGGCTCTGCAGAGGGAATTAGCATGCGGGCGGGTGCGGGTGAACAAAGTGACCTGCGTTCACAAGTCACACCCTACAAAAACACAACCAGACACACACAACCACACACAGGACACACGACCACACACAACACACACCACATGACCGACTCAACACACACACACACACACACAACACAAAACAACACAACACACACACACACACCCCACAACACACACACACACCCACAACACACACACAAACTCTTAACTCCTCTCTTTATCCAGCCTGACAATAATGAGCGGTTAGGGACAGTTTGAAGGTGATATGCACTTATCAGATCAAAGGCAACTCTTAACTCCCTCTCTCTGTCTGTCTCTAACAGGGTTTTCCTGGTCCTCAGGGCCTGGTAGGCTTGCCAGGAGTAAAGGTAGGACTGTCCTAAACATGTTGTCAACATATACTGCAGAGTAAACATGTCAAAGTAAAGGCAGGACTGTCCTAAACATGTTGTCAATATATACTGCAGAGTAAACCAGTCAAAGTAAGGAGGCTATGTGTCAAAAACATGCAAACAACAGAATAAATATGTCAGTATATCCAAATGTATATACTGTGTCAACAAACAGAAATATAATATATTGAGAACTTTCAACAACCAGGAATATATGCAACATACAGACAGTCAAAAGTTTGCACACTCTTAGACATATTGAACTCAAACCAGAAAAAAACTATGAATCATGTAGACCAAAAAATGTTAACAAAACAAAAGTTTTGAATGAGTTCTCAAATATGCGAGCACTTGATGGCAGCTTTCCTTGGCACCCCAACGCGTTAACTGGACTTTTCAATCTGAAGTTCACACCATCTCAATTTGGCTTGATGGTACAAGGTGGGAACTGTGGAGGCCCAGGTCATCTGATGCAGCACTCCATCACTCTCCTGGTAAAATAGCCCTTACACAGCCTGGAGGGTGTTGGGTCATTGTCTGTTGAAAAACAAATCATAGTCCACTAAGCCCAAACCAGATGGGATGGCGTATCGCTGCAGAATGCTATGGTAGCCATGCTGGTTAAGTGTGCCTTGAATTCTAAATAAATCACAGACAGTGTCACCAGCAAAGCACCCCCACACCATAACACCTCCTCCTCCATGCTTTACGGTGGGAACTACACATGCGGAGATCATCCGTTCACCCACACTGCGTCTCACAAAGACATGGCGGTTTAAACTAAAAATCTCCAATTTGGACTCCAGGCCAAAGGACACATTTCCACCGGTCTAATGTCCATTGCTCATGTTTCTTGGCCCAAGCAGGTCTCTTCTTCTTATTGGTGTCCTTTAGTAGTGGTTTCTTTGCAACAATTCGACCATGAAGGCCTGATTCACCAGTCCCCTCTGAACAGTTGATGTTGAGATGTGTCTGTTACTTGAACTCTGTGAAGCATTTATTTGGGCTGCAATTTCTGAGGCTGGTAACTCTGATGAACTTATCCTCTGCAGAAGAGGTAACTCTGGGTCTTCCATTCCTTTGGCGGTCCTCATGAGAGCCAGTTTCATCATAGCGCTTGATGGTTTTTGCGACTGCACTTGAAGAAACTTTAATGTCTTAAAGTAGTGATGGACTGTCATTCTCTTTGCTTATTTGAGCTGTTCTTGCCATAATATAGACTTGGTCTTTTACCAAATAGGGCTATATTCTGTATACCCCCCCTACCTTCTCACAACACAACTGATTGGCTCAAACGCATTAAGAAGGAAATAAATTCCACAAATTAACTTTTAAGAAGGCACACCTGTTAATTGAAATGCATTCCAGGTGACTACCTCATGAAGCTGGTTGAGAGAATGCCAAGAGTGTGCAAAGCTGTCATCAAGGCAAAGGGTGGCTATTTGAAGAATCTCAAATATAAAATATATTTTGATTTGTTTAACACGTTTTTGGTTACTACATGATTCCATATGTGTTATTTCATTTCATAGTCTTCACCATTATTCTACAATGTAAAATGTTTTTAAAAATAAAGAAAAACCCTTGAATGAGTAGGTGTCCAAACTTTTGACTGGTAGTGTATATGAAACATACCAACACACAGGAATATATGTCAACATATATGAAACATGCTACACACAGGAATATATGACAACATATATGAAACATGCTAACACACAGGAATATATGTCAACATATATGAAACATACCAACACACAGGAATATATGTCAACATATATGAAACATACTAACACACCGGAATATATGACAACATATATGAAACATGCTAACACACAGGAATATATGTCAACATATATGAAACATGCTAACACACCGGAATATATGACAACATATCTTAAACATGCCAACACACAGGAATATATGTCAACATATATGAAACATGCTAGCACACAGGAATATATGTCAACATGTACTGTATATGACATATGCCATATGATATGATGAGATATGTCAAATTAAAGGGGTAGGTTGTGATTAAAATGATCCTTGCTGTGTCTCTCAGGGGCCCCAAGGGAAGAAAGGATTGCAGGGACTACCTGGGAATGATGGCCCTACCGTGAGTACTCCACACACGCTAACACACACACACACACACACACACACACACACACACACACACACACACACACACACACACACACACACACATTCTCTCATCCATATTATCTTGTCCTCCTGTGTACAGGGTCACCCAGGGAGAGAGGGGACTCCAGGAGAGAAGGGACTACCGGTAAGTCTATCTGTGTGTGTGTGTATTGAGTGCCATGCATACAGGGACCTTTGAAATGTTTAGATCCTTTTTTTTGTACATTTGATTGGTGTATTCAAATAACGTATTTAAAATGTGTGTGTGTGTGTGTGTGTATATGTGTGTGTATGTGTGTGTAATTTTACTGACGTGTCTCTCTGTGTGTGTAGGGCCCACCAGGCGTCCAGGGGCCTATAGGATATCCAGGATCAAGAGGAGTGAAGGTACATTCAAATCCACGTGTTCCATTCTGTTTGTTCTGATTCTGAGTGAAGGTACATTCTAAATCTATGTGTTCCATTCTGTTTGTTCTGATTCTGAGTGAAGGTACATTCTAAATCTATGTGTTCCATTCTGTTTGTTCTGATTTTGAGTGAAGTTACATTCTAAATCTATGTGTTCCATTCTGTTTGTTCTGATTCTCAGTCTCTGGGTTCCATTGTAAGTGTGTATTCTCTGTCTCTGTGTGCCACAGGGAGCGGACGGAATTAGAGGACTGAAGGGAAGCAAAGGGGAGAAGGTGAGAGAGACACAGCTCTACCCTGAGTTATCTCTGTGTTTTACACAGCTCTACCCTGAGTTATCTCTGTGTTTTACACAGCTCTAGACCCTGAGTTAGCTCTGTGTTTTGACACGCTCTACCCTGAGTTATCTCTGGGTTTTTACACAGCTCTACCCTGAGTTATCTCTGTGTTTTACACAGCTCTACCCTGAGTTATCTCTGTGTTTTACACAGCTCTACCCTGAGTTATCTCTGTGTTTTACACAGCTCTACCCTGAGTTATCTCTGTGTTTTACACAGCTCTACCCTGAGTTATCTGTGTTTTACACAGCTCTACCCTGAGTTATCTCTGTGTTTTACACAGCTCTACCCTGAGTTATCTCTGTGTTTTACACACCTCTACTGTGAGTTATCTGTGTTTTACACAACTCTATCCTGAGTTATCTCTGTTTTACACAACTCTATCCTGAGTTATCTGTGTGTTTCTGACCATGCAGCATGTTCTAAGTGTTCTCATGGTCTGTGCCTCCTCTATCCACCTATGTTTATCATGTTCTCTATCTAGAATATAGTCATGTTCTATGTTCTCCATTGTCTTACGTCAGATAGCGCGGCGGCCGTCTGCTCTGATATAACGTGTCTCGTTAGAATGACGCCACCTGTCGGAAGACAATATGTGGTCTTTTTATTTCTGTTCTATATTTTATGTTCTATATTCTATGTTCTATATTTTATGTTCTATATTCTATGTTCTATGTTCTATATTATTTGTTCTATATTATATGTTCTATGTTCTACATTATATGTTCTATATTCTATGTTCTATGTTCTATGTTCTATGGTCTATATTCTATATTCTATGTTATATGTTCTATGTTCTATGTTCTATGTTCTATGTTCTGTACTCTAAATTCTATGTTCTATATTCTCTCTGTGTTCTGTGTTGTAGGGTGAGGATGGGTTCCCCGGCTCTAAGGGAGAGATGGGGGTGAAGGGTGACGGGGGTGATAACGGGGTGCCAGGGTCCAGGGGAGAGGATGGTCCTGAAGGACCTAAAGGACAGGCTGGACCCCTGGGGGAGGCTGGAGCGGTGGGCATGGCTGGAGAAAAGGTAGGTGGTACACCGATGGGGGTGTGTGTGTGGAGGTGAGAGGGGTTGTGGGGCGTGTGTGTGTGAACATGATTTTGAACCAATGTTGTCTGCGCTAGCCCACTGAGCTAAAGCCTAGGCATTACCTTGTATCAAAAAGTTACATGAAGTCAACATTTACAAAAGACTCAATCTTCTCTGCTTCTGTCCCCCCCCCCCCCCCTCTCTCTCAGGGTAAACTGGGAGTTCCAGGGCTGCCGGGGTATCCGGGACAAAAAGGACCTAAGGTGAGAGAGGATTAAATATACCATATAAACAAATATATCAAGTAAACAAATAAAACATAATAGTAAACACAGATAACGCTAAAACATTGTCTGAAGGCAGCAGTAACGCGTCTGTGTGTGTTAACCCCGACAGGGTTCCGATGGTTTTCCTGGATCTGTTGGAGTGTTGGGAGAGAAAGGGAAGAGGGTGAGTAGTAGAGGGAGGCTTTACCACAGGGTGCGTTCCTCTGGAGTGCCGGAGAGCGCTCAGAGTGCGCTCTGGGCGTTCCTAAATTCACACCGTTATCAGATTGTCCGTTCGTAAAATTCAGAGAGTTTCGCTCTCGGAGCGTTCAGAGCGCACACTGGACGCTCTGTGCCAAGGAGTAGGGTTGATCTGAGCGTTCTGACCTCAGAACGGCAGTCAAGCACCCAAGCTAACTGGCTAACGTTGGCTGGCTTGCTAGCTATTTCCAGACACAAATGAGAGAACACCTCACTCTGACCATTTTTCTCGCCCTAGCAGAGCTGGTTAGAATGTTTTCATGTTATCCAGAGCGTTGGTGACTGTAACTGTGCTGCTGGCAACAATTTAATTACACTTGTGGGTTCGATTCCCACGGGGGGCCAGTATGAAAAAAAATATATATATATATCCACTCACTAACTGTATGTCGCTCTGGATAAGAACGTCTGCTAAATGACTAAAATGTAAATGTAAATATGGACCCTGCTGGACATGGACACGGCAATAGTTCTGGGAAAGTGCATTTATTGGGCTCCCGAGTGGCGCAGTGGTCTAAGGCACTGCATCTCAGTGCTAGAGGTGTCACTACAGACCCCCTGGTTTGATTCCAGGCTGTATCACAACCGGACGTGATTGGGAGTCCCATAGGGCTGCGCACAATTGGCCCAGCGTCGTCCGGGTTTGGCCGGTGTAGGCCGTCATTGTAAATAAGAATTTGTTCTTAACTGACTTGAAGACTCGGTGCTTCAGAAAACACAAACAAAGTTTATTGTCAAGTACAGTATATTGAAAATATTGAAATGTTGTTAAAACTTCAGTGGTGTATCCATGGTAACGGGCTGTATGTTGTACCCATGGTAACGGTCTGTCCTGTTTTCTCTTCCACAGGGTCCCGGGGGGGAAGCAGGCGGTGCAGGACAGAGGGGTCCTAACGTGAGTACTGTGTGTTTGTGTACGTGTGTGTGTGTGTGTGCGTGTGTGTGTGTCTGCTTATGTGTGTGTGTGTTTGTGTGTGTGTATGTGTGTCTGCTTATGCGTGTTTATCTGTGTCTGTAATACTGTTGTTTTTCCTCCAGGGGGTGCGTGGGGGCCGGGGTGCCAGGGGACCAACAGGGAAGACGGGGGGAAAGGTCAGAGTTCAATCCATTCTAATCATTATGAGGTCATCATAAACTCTCTATCCAGCAGTAATAGCCATAACACAGGATGCATCCCAAATGGCACCCTAAAAGGTAGTGCACTACTTAGAGAATAGGGTGTCATTTGGTAATGCTACCCTATTCCCTTATTCTTTTTGAGTAGTGCCCTAAATAGAGAATATGATGTCATTTGGAGCATAACCTCAGTCACACTGATTAATATTACAGTACAGTGCATTCCGAAAGTATTCAGACCCCTTGACATTTTCCACATTTTGTTACGTTACAGCCTTATTCTAAAATGGATTAAATTGTTTTTTTCCCCCCTTCATCAATCTATACACAATACCCCATAATGACTAAGCAAAAACAGGTTTTTAGACATTTTTGCTAATTTATTAAGAATTAAAAACTGAAATATTACATTTACATAAGTATTCAGACCCTTTACTCAGTACTTTGTTGAAGCACCTTTGGCAGCAATTACAGCCTTGAGTCTTCTTGGGTATGATGCTACAAGCTTGGCACACCTGTATTTGGGGAGTTTCTCCCATTCTTCTCTGCAGATCCTCTCAAGCTCTGTCAGGTTGGATGGGGAGCGTTGCTGCACAGCTATTTTCAGGTCTCTCCAGAGATGTTCGATCGGGTTCAAGTCCGGGCTCTGGCTGGGCCACTCAAGGACATTCGGAGACTTGTACCGAAGCCACTCATGTGTTGTCGGCTGTGTGCCCAGTCTGAGGTCCTGAGCTCTCTGAAGCAGGTTTTCATCAAAGATCTCTCTGTACTTTGCTCCGTTCATCTTTCCCTCGATCCTGACTATTCCCTGCCAGTCCCTGCCACTGAAAAACATCCCCACAGCATGATGCTGTCACCACCATGCTTCACCCTAGGGATGGTGCCAGGTTTCCTCCAGACGTGACGCTTGGCATTCAGGCCAAAGAGTTCAATCTTGGTTTCATCAGACCAGATAATCTTGTTTCTCATGGTCTGAGAGTCCTTTAGGTGCCTTTTGGCAAACTGTAAGCGAGTTGTCAGGTGCCTTTTACTGAGGAGTGGCTTCCGTCTGGCCACTCTACCATAAAGGCCTGATTGGTGGAGTGCTGCAGAGATGGTTGTCCTTCTGGAAGGTTCTCTCATATCCACAGAGGAACTCTGCAGATCTGTCAGAGTGACCATCGGGTTCTTGGTCACCTCCCTGACCAAGGCCCTTCTCCCCCGATTGCTCAGTTTGGCCGGGCGGCCAGCTCTAGGAAGAGTCTTGGTGGTTCCAAACTTCAATGGAAACAGGATGCACCTGAGCTCAATTTCGTGTCTCATAGCAAAGGGTTTGAATACTTATGTTAATAAGGTTATTTGATTTTTTAGACATTTGCAATAAATTCTAAAAACGTTTCACTTTGTCATTATGGGGTATTGTGTGTAGATTGATGAGGATTTTGTATTTATTTAATCCATTTTAGAATAAGTCTGTAACGTAACAAAATGTGGAAAAAGGGAAGTGGTCTGAATACTTTCCGAAGGCACTTAATATACAGTATTCTAGCCTTCCTATTGAACTATTGCTGTACATATACTATTCTATCCTACGTATTCTACATACACTATATATACAAAAGTATGTGGACACCCCTTCAAATTAGTGGATTCGGCTATTTCAGCCACACCCGTTGCTGACAGCTGTATAAAATTGAGCACACAGCCATGCAATCTCCATAGACAAACATTGACAGTAGAATGGCCTTACTGAAGAGCTCAGTGACTTTCAACGTGGCACCGTCATAGGACGCCACCTTTCCAACAAGTCAGTTCATCACATTTCTGCCCTGCTAGAGCTGCCCCGGTCAACTGTAAGTGCTGTTATTGTGAAGTGGAAACGTCTAGGAGCAACAACGGCTCAGCCGCGAAGTCGTAGGCCACACAAGTTCACAGAACGGGACCGCCGAGTGCTGAAGCGCGTACCGCGTAAAAATCATCTGTCCTCGGTTGCAACACTCACTACCGAGTTCCAAACTGCCTCTGGAAAGCAACGTCAGCACAAGAACTGCTCGTCAGGAGCTTCATGAAATTGGGTTTCCATGGCCGAGCAGCCGCACACAAGCCTAAGATCACCAAGCGCAATGCCAAGCGTCGGCTGGAGTGGTGTAAATCTTGCCGCCATTGGTTCTCTGGAGTGATGAATCACGCTTCACCATCTGGCAGTCCGACGGACGAATCTGGGTTTGGCGGATGCCAGGAGAACGCTACCTTTCCCAATGCATTGTGCCAACTGTAAAGTTTGATGGAGGAGGAATAATGGTCTGGGGCTGTTTTTCATGGTTTGGACTAGGCCCCTTAGTTCCAGTGAAGGGAAATCTTAATGCTACAGCATACAATGAATGACCTTCTAGACGATTCTGTGCTTCCAACTTTGTGGCAACAGTTTGGGGAAGGCCCTTTCCTGTTTCAACATGACAATGCCCCCGTGCACAAAGCGAGGACCATACAGAAATGGTTTGTCGAGATCAGCGTGGAAGAACTTGACTGGCCAGCACAGAGCCCTGACCTCAACCCCCTTCGAACACCTTTGGGATGAATTGGAACGCCGACTGCGAGCCAGGCCTAATCACCCAACATCAGTGCCCAACCTCACTAATGCTCTTGTGGCTGAATGGAAGCAAGTCCCCGCAGCAATGTTCCAACATCTAGTGGAAAACCTTCCCAGAAGAGTGGAGGCTGTTCTAGCAGCAAAAGGGGGACCAACTCCATATTAATGCCCATGATTTTGGAATGAGATGTTCGACAAGCAGGTGTCCACATACGTTTGGTCATGTAATGTATATAAGACATATTCTTTCCATATACTGTCTGTACATCTCATCATATACATATATATTTATATTCCGGACTGTGAAAATGCACGTCCTAATATTTCTATATTTCTTAATTCCATTATTTTACTTTTTAGATTTGCGTGTATTGTTTTGTATTGTTAGATATTATTGCTCTGTTTGAGCCAGGAACACAAGCATTTCGCTACACCTGTAATAACATTAGCTAAATACGTCTATGCTGCCAATACAATTGGATTTGATTTGATTTCTAACGGTCTCTTTTCCTCAATGTTGTCTGTCACAGGGCTCCTCTGGACATGATGGACCCAATGGACCAACTGGAGACAGGGTAAGGACAGGAACATCATGGTTCATTGATTGGTTGATTGATTGATTGGTTAATTAGTTGATTGGTTGATTTGTTAATTAGTACATTTGTTGATTTGTTGATTGGTTGGATAAGTGTTTGATTGGTTGATTTGTTAATTGGCTAACTTGTTAATTGCTTAATTGGTTGAATACGTGTTTGATTGGTTGGATAAGTGTTTGATGAATTAATTGATTGACTGTTTGATTGATTGATTTATGTATTGTCCAGGGGCCTCAAGGGCCACAAGGACGGAACGGGGAATCAGGACCCAAGGGACCCAACGTGAGTGACACACACACACACACAAAATAGTCTGCTATTGAGGACACTCAGTTCTGGTCTCATTGTAGTGTAACAGGATGTTGAGTTTTGTGACTGTGATGTCACTTCCTGTGTGTGTGTGTGTAGGGTCCAGCAGGGAAAGATGGACTTCCGGGTCACCCAGGTCAGAGAGGGGAGCCGGTGAGTAGAGGTTAGAGGTCACAAGAAGTTACCTAAATACACCTATCCATCCACTGATCTCTCTCTCTCTCTCTCTCTCTCTCTCTCTCTCTCTCCCTCCCTATCTCTCCCTCTCTTGCTCTCTCTCTCTCTCTCTCCAGGGTTTCCAAGGAAAGACGGGACCCCCGGGGCCAGGAGGTGTGGTGGGGCCACAGGTGAGTCTGATTGGTTGCTATGTGTGTTCTCTCTAACCTGATTGGTCTGTTTGTGTTCTCTCTAACCTGATTGGTTGTTGCAGGGTAAATCAGGTGAGACCGGATCATTGGGAGACAGAGGTCATCCCGGGTCACCTGGCGTACCTGGAGAGCAGGGCTTACCTGGCGCCGCCGGGAAGAGGGAGCTAAGGTGATGCTTCATCATCTTCCTCATCACAATCATCATCATTATGAATCATCATTGTTTTCACCTAATAACCACCGTTACCAGTCATTACAAGAATCATCTTAACTGGTTAGTTTAATAGACCTCATGAGCGTTCCACCAATCAGAGCTGTTGTTGTTGTTGTTGTTTCCAGGGCGACCCGGGTACAGGAGGGACTTCTGGGAAAGCTGGTCCTCCAGGCCTCAGGGGCTTCAGAGGCAGCAGAGGGGTCGCCGGGGGCATGGTAACACACAGACACACAGACACAGACACAGACAGACACAGACACAGACACAGACAAAGACACACACACACACACACACACACACACACAGACACACACACACAGACACAGACAGACACAGACACACACACACAGACACAGACACAGACACACAGACACAGACAGACAGACAGACAGACAGACAGACAGACACACACACACAGACACAGACAGCCACAGACAGACACACACAGACACAGACACACACACACAGACACACACAGACAGACACAGACAGACACACACACAGACACACACACACACAGACACACAGACACACAGACACACGAGACACAGACAGACAGACACAGACACACAGACACACAGACACAGACATACACAGACACAGACAGACACACAGACACAGACAGACACAGACAGACACACACAGACACACCACACAGACAGACACAGACAGACACACAGACACAGACAGACACAGACAGACACAGACATGCTAACAGGCCCTGTGATGGTGTGATAACAGTGTGTCCTCCTCAGGGTCCTGCTGGTCTGAAAGGAGGTGAAGGACCAGTCGGAGCAGCAGGACCTATAGTGAGTTTTCTCTCCTCTCCATTTTCCTCACTCCTACCTCCTCACTCCCTGCCAACACAGACCCCAGACAGACAGTGTTAAGATGTATAATGCACATATGTATATCCCCTCCCTCCCCCTCCCCCTCTCTCTCTCTGCAGGGGGCCGGTGGTGAGAGGGGTCCTCCAGGGTCGGCCGGTGCCATTGGTCAGCCTGGGAGGACGGGGGCTGTGGGTGGACCTGGAGCAATGGGCGAGAAGGGGGAACCGGTAGGTACTGTAAAGGTGTTCCACATTCTATGGACATAGCTCAGAGTTCTATGTTCCGAGTTCCATGTTCCGAATTCCAAATTCCCAGTTCAATATTTGGAGTTCTGACTTCTATATTCTCTTCTGAGTTCCATATTCTGAGTTCTGAGTTCCGTATTCTGAGTTCTGTGTTCCATATTCTGAGTTCTGTGTTCCATATTCTGAGTTCTGAGTTCCATATTCTGAGTTCTGAGTTCCATATTCTGAGTTCTGAGTTCCATATTCTGAGTTCTAAGTTCCATATTCTAAGTTCTGAATTCCATATTCTGTGTTTCAAGTTCTGTGTTCTGAGTCCCTATAGTTCCAGAGTTGTGTGTAGGTAATGTGACTGTCTGTCTGTTTGTTGTGTTGTCCCAGGGAGGGGCGGGCCCTATTGGACCAGCAGGACAGGATGGAGACCAGGGACCTCTAGGACTACCTGGAGCTGCAGGCCCTGCAGGACCCCCAGGAGAGGATGGGGATAAGGTAACATGGCCCTGTCCATGTGTGTTGTTGTTGTTGTTGTTGTTGTTGTTGTTGTTGTTGTGTGTATCTGAAGGTATTTATTGTGTGTGTGTGTGTGTGTGTGTGTGTGTGTGTGTGTGTGTGTGTGTGTGTAGGGAGAGACTGGAGGTCCAGGGCAGAAGGGCAGCAAAGGAGATAAAGGAGAATCAGTGAGTCTACTGAGATAATTACTACACCAAAACTACAACCAATATTACACTAATACAGTACTACACCAATACTGCACCAGTACTACACCAATACTACCCTAATACTACACCAATAATACACTGATACTACACCAGTACTACCCTAATACTAACCTAATACTACCCTAAAACTACACTAATACTACACTAATACTGCACCAATACTGCACCAATGCTGCACCAGTACTGCACCAATACTACACCAATACTACACTAATACTACACAGTGGTTAAATACCAAATATTAAACCATTTAGTCTCACGATCCTTGTGATAGCCTTGTGATCTACCCAGTAACTAACTAATATTGTCTGTGTCTCTATAGGGCCCCCCAGGACCAACCGGTGGCCAGGGGCCGATGGGGCAGTCAGGAATTCCTGTGAGTCTGTTGTACAACCACATACCTGTAATGTTGCTCTAGTCTAAAGTATATTTGAAGATTGAAAGTAATCCTATCCCTCTCCTCTCCTCCCTACCCCACCTTTCTTTCTCTCTCTCTCTCTCTCTCTCTCTCTCTCTCTCTCTCTCTCTCTCTCTCTCTCTCGCGCTCTCTCTCTCTCTCTGTGTGTCTCTCTCTCGCTCTCTCTCTCTCTGTCGCTCTCCCCTCCTCCCCTTTTCCTCCCCTTCTCCACCCTCTCTCCCTCCTCCCCTCCTCTCCATCCCCTCTTCCCTACACCCTCTCTCTCTCCTCTCCCCCCTCCCTCCTCCTCTCTCCCAGGGTGTGGATGGGGAGTCAGGTCCCAGGGGCCAGCAGGGAATGTACGGGACCAAGGGTGACGAGGGCCTCCGGGGCTTCAAGGGCTCCAAAGGACCCATCGGACTACAGGTGAGACACACACACACACTGTGAGTGGCCTCAAATGTCAGGCTTCATAGATTTGCATGTGATATTGTCTTGGATGGTATTGCTGCAGTAATTGCCATCCTTACAACTTTCGTTTGTCAATCAACTGTTTATAACAATTCTAAATGTGAGGTTGTGTGTTTCCTAGGGGATGCCTGGTCTACCAGGGGAGAAGGGGGAGAGCGGACACATCGGCTTGATGGTGAGGTCACATCCTGTCTTTATGACACTTCCTGTCAGCCTACTGATTCAGATACATAAACTATATAGTAAGGTTTGGAACTAGATATAGTGGTGGATGTAGACTGATTGAACTAGATATAGTGGTGGATGTAGACTGATTGAACTAGATATAGTGGTGGATGTAGACTGATTGAACTAGATATAGTGGTGGATGTAGACTGATTGAACTAGATATAGTGGTGGATGTAGACTGATTGAACTAGATATAGTGGTGGATGTAGACTGATTGAACGAGATATAGTGGTGGATGTAGACTGATGAACTAGATATAGGTGGATGTAGACTGATTGAACGAGATTAGTGGTGGATGTAGACTGATTGAACTAGATATAGTGGTGGATGTAGATGATTGAAACTAGATATAGTGGTGGATTGATAGACTGGATTGAACTAGATATAGTGATGGATGTAGACTGATTGAACTAGATATAGTGGTGGAGTGATGATGACTAGATATAGTGGGGATGTAGCTGATAACTAGATTAGTGGTATGTAGACGATGAACTGATATAGTGGGGATGTAGACTGATTGAACTAGATATAGTGGTGGATGTAGACTGATTGAACTAGATATAGTGGTGTGTAGACTATGAACTAAATATTGTGATGTAGACTGATTGAACTAGATATAGTGGTGGATGTAGACTGATTGAACTAGATATGTGAGTGGTGGATGTAGACTGGTTGATGAATTGATTAGTGATTGTGATATCATTAATTCACATAATGAAGCTAGAATGAATTTGGATTTATTGATGATCTGTTGATTGATTAATATACTCACTTTGTCTTTTCCTATCAGGGTCGTCCAGGTCAGTTTGGTCCCAGAGGGCCACAAGGGCCTAGTGGGGGACAGGTGAGTACACACACACACACACACACACACACACACACACAGACCAGCGAGTTCACGCACACACACACACACACACACACACACACACACACACACACACACACACACACAGACCAGCGAGTTCACGCACACACACACACTCAAACACACGCGCACACACAGTGCATTCAGAAAGTATTCAGTCTCCTTCCCTTTTTCCACATTCTGTTACATTACAGCCTTATTCTAAAATTGATTAAATAAAATATTTTCCTCATCAATCTACACACAATACCCCATAATGACAAAGTGAAAACAGGTTTTTAGAAATTGTTGCACATTTATTAAAATTTAAAATAAAAACAGAAATACCTTATTTACATAAGTAGTCAGACCCTTTGCTATGAGACTCGAAATTGAGCTCAGCTGCATCCTGTTTCCATTGATCATCCTTGAAATGTTTCTACAACTTGATTGGAGTCCACCTGTGGTAAATTCAATTGACTGGATATGATTTGGAAAGGCACACACCTGTCTATATAAGGTCCCACAGTTGACAGTACATGTCAGAGCAAAAACCAAGCCATGAGGTCGAAGGAATTGTCCGTAGAGTTCCGAGACAGGATTGTGTCGAGGCACAGATCTGGGGAAGGGTACCAAAAAATGTCTGCAGCATGGAAGGTCCCCAAGAACACAGTGGCCTCCATCATTCTTAAATGGAAGTCGTTTGGGGGAGAAGGGCCTTGGTCAGGGAGGTGACCAAGAACCCGATGGTCACTCTGACAGAGCTCCAGAGTTCCTCTGTGGAGATGGGAGAAACTTCCAGAAGGACAACCATCTCTGCAGCACTCCACCAATCAGGCCTTTATGGTAGAGTGGCCAGACGGAAGCCACTCCTCAGTAAAAGGCACCTGACAGCCCGCTTGGAGTTTGCCAAAAGGCACCTAAAGGACTGTCAGACTATGAGAAACAAGATTCTCTGGTCTGATGAAACCAAGATTGAACTCTTTGGCCTGAATGCCAAGCGTCACGTCTGGAGGAAACCTGGCACCATCGCTATGGTGAAGCATGGTGGTGGCAGCATCACGCAGTGGGGATGTTTTTCAGCGGCAGGGACTGGGAAACTAGTCAGGATCGAGGCAAAGATGAACAGAGAAAAGTAAAGAGAGATCCTTGATGAAAACCTGCTCCAGAGTGCTCAGGACCTCAGACTGGGGCGAAGGTTCACCTTCCAACAGGACAACGATCCTAAGCACACAGCCAAGACAACGCAGGAGTGGCTTCGGAACAAGTCTCTGAATGCCCTTGAGTGTCACAGCCAGAGCCCAGACTTGAACCCGATCGAACATCTCTGGAGAGACCTGAAAATAGCTGTGCAGCGATGCGCCCCATCCAACCTGACAGAGCTTGAGAGGATCTGCAGAGAAGAATGGAGAATAACTTATGTAAGTGTGATATTTTATTTTTTTTTATTTTCTAAAAGCTGTTTTTGCTTTGTCATTATGGGGTATTGTGTGTAGATTGATGAAGGGGGGAAAAAAAACAATTTAATCCATTTTAGATTAAGGCTGTAACGTAACAAAATGTGGAAAAAGTCAAGGGATCTGAATACTTTCCGAATGAATACACACACACCAGCAATTTCACACACGCACGCACACACACACACACAACCTGTCCTCTGTGTGTTGTACAGGGTGCTCTGGGCAGACCAGGTGGGATTGGACAGCCAGGTGGAAATGGAGAGAAGGTAAGCAGAGAGACAGTGTAGTTTACACATGTCTTCACTGTGGAAGAGAGGGAATAAGAGAGGAGTGTTATGATGTCATCTCTCTCTCTCTTTCTCTCTCGCTCTCTCTTTCTGTCTCTCTCGCTCTCTTTCGCTCTCGTTCTCTCGCTCTTGCTCTCTCTCTTTCTATCTCTCTCTCTTTCTGTCTCTCTCGCTCTCTTCTTCTCTCTCTCTCTCTCTCTCTTGCTCTTTCTCTTTCTCTCTTCGCCTCTCTTTTCCTCTCCTCTTCTCTCTCTCTCTCTCTCTCTCTCTCTCTCTCTCTCTCTCGCAGGGGGAGGATGGAGAATCAGGAGACCCAGGACCCGTTGGTGTATCAGGAGGCAGCGTAAGTCTATCCTCCTCATCTTCATCATCTTCTTCATCATCATCACCATCATCATCATCATTATCCTCTCATTGGGTCAAAAACATGATCCTCCTAATTGTCATTTCATATAAAAATAGATAGTAATTGTTGTCAATAGCACAGAGTCCAGGAGAACACACCATTTCTGGAAGATAATCGTTGCAGATGTCCTTTGATCTTGTTCCTTTTGGATCAACTTCAACTCCCTACCCTCTCTTTCTCTCCTTTCCCTCTCTCTGTCCCCCACCCCTCTCTCTACCCCAGGGGGATGCAGGTGACCAGGGGGAGAAGGGGGACTCAGGTCTGTCTGGAGCAGCTGGGACCCCAGGAGCCAGAGGCCCCCCAGGAGAGGACGGGGCCAAGGGAAACTCTGTGAGTTACACATGATCGCTGTACATTCTCACGTAATACACACTCACCCTTTCATAATGATCCTATCTCTCTTTTCTCATCTCATCGCTTCTCTCCCCCCCTCCTCATCTCACCCTTTCATAAGATCCTATCTCTCTTTTCTCTCTCTCTCTCCTCCCCCCCCTCCTTATCTCACACTTTAATAATGATCGTATCTCTCCTTCTCTCCCCCCCTCTCTCACTACCCTTCATAGATCCTATCTCTCCTTTTTCTCTCTTCGCTTCTCTCACCCCTCCTCTATCTCACCCTTTCATAATGATCCTATCTACTTTCCTTTTCGCTTCTCCCCCCTCAGTCACCCTTTCAAAAACTATCTCCTTCCCCCCATCTATTACCTTCATAATGATCTATCTCTCCTTTCTTCTCTCTCGCTTCTCTCCCACCCTCTCATCTCCACCCTTTCATAATGATCCTATCTCTCTTTTCTCTCTCTCTCGCTTCTCTCCCCCCCTCCTCTATCTCACCCTTTCATAATGATCCTATCTCTCCTTTTCTTCTCTCTCGCTTCTCCCCCCCCTCTATCTCACCCTTTCATAATGATCCTATCTCTCCTTTTCTCTCTCTCTCTCGCTTCTCTCCCCCCCTCCTCTATCTCTCCTCAGGGTCCGATTGGTTTCCCAGGAGACTCCGGACAGCCAGGGGAGGCAGGACCTAACGTGAGTGTTCCGTCCTTCTCTCCACTGTTCCTTGGTTCTGAACATAACACCTCTATTACAGGGTCAAAATTAAGTCTCTCACTCTCTCTCTCTCTCTCTCTCTCTCTTTCTCTCTCTCTCTCTCTCTCTCTCTCTCTCTCTCTCTCTGTCTGCTCTTTCTGTCTCTCTTTCTTACAGGGGGAGGATGGAGGTCCTGGATCCAAGGGAGATGCTGGAGATCCAGGGAAATCAGTGAGTGTTTCAAATGTCTGGTATAGCTTATCTATAAGTCTATCTGTGCAGATCCAGACATGTGTGTTACCCACACAGATCCGTTAAATCAGTTACAGATGTAACCAACCACTCATAGAGAGCAGGTGTTTGTTGGAGTCTCCTGTAACCGATTGTCTAGACGTTCAGAAGTTGGAGATGTTTTGTACAACTTGAGTTTCATCGTTGTTTTCTGTAGGGTCCACCAGGAGCATCAGGAGAACCTGGCCCCTCAGGGCCACCAGGACGCAGGGTGAGAGAGACAGAGAGTGCGCGTGTGGTGTGTGTGTGTGTGTCTGTTAGTTCATATGTAATTTTCAACATGTTTAAATATTCCTCTATTTCTTGTTAGGGTCACCTGGGTAAAGAAGGGAAGCAGGGGAAAGCAGGGATGAAAGGAGCGAAGGGGTCTCCAGGGTTGGAGGGTCTCCTGGGGAAGACAGGACCGGTGGGAGCCCAGGGACATTCTGGTAAACCAGGTCCTAGTGGTCTCAGAGGGATCCCTGGCCCAGCGGTGAGGACACACACACCCTGACCCCTGACCTGTCAACTCATGACCACACAACCTCATAAGCCGGATGTACTATGCTGCAAATGCAAAAAACTGACCAACTTCATCAATGACAATACAGGTAATATAAAAAAAATAAATGACTCTGTCTCTCTCTCTCTCTCTCGCTCTCATCTCCTCTCTCTCGCTCCCTCACCGCTCTCTCTCTCCTCGCCCCTCTCTCTCTCTCCTTCGTGTGCTCTCCTCTCTTTTCTTAGTGCCTCTCTCTCGTCTCTCTCTCCTCTCTCTCCTCTCTCTCTGACTCTCTCCCTTCCTGACTTATCTCCTCAACTCAGTCTCTCTCAGACTCTCTCTCATCGCTCTCTCTCTCTCTCCTCTCGTCTTCGACTCCTCTCTCTCTCTCTCATCTCCTCTCTCAGGGAGAACAAGGTTTAAATGGACCACCAGGTGTAACAGGACCACCAGGACCCATGGTAAAACAACAGTCTACACCTTTATCCATCTATCTTTCCATTCCTCCATCCCTCCATCTCTCATCCCTCTCCAACATCCTTCTATCCCTCCATCCTTCCATTCCTCCACCTCTCCATCCATGTCCCTCTATCCACAGTCTACAGCCCTATCTCAGTCACTACTACAGACGCCTACTTCCTGTATCAGTCACTACTACAGACGCCTACTTCCTGTATCAGTCTCTACTACAGACGCCTACTTCCTGTATCAGTCTCTACAACATACGCCTACTTCCTGTATCAGTCTCTACTACAGATGCCTACTTCCTGTATCAGTCTCTACAACATACGCCTACTTCCTGTATCAGTCTCTACTACAGACGCCTACTTCCTGTATCAGTCACTACTACAGACGCATACTTCCTGTATCAGTCTCTACTACAGACGCATACTTCCTGTATCAGTTTCTACTATAGATGCATACTTCCTGTATCAGTCTCTACTACAGACGCCTACTTCCTGTATCAGTCTCTACTACAGACGCATACTTCCTGTATCAGTCTCTACTACAGACGCATACTTCCTGTATCAGTCACTACTACAGACGCATACTTCCTGTATCAGTCTCTACTACAGACGCCTACTTCCTGTATCAGTCACTAATACAGACGCATACTTCCTGTATCTCTACAAACACAAGTTATTGTATAAGTTTACTAAGGGTACGTCCCAAATGGCACCCTATTCCCTATATAATGCACTACTTTAGACCAGAGACATTTATGTGCCCTGGTTAAAAGTAGTGCATTATATAGGGAATAGGGTGCCATTTGGGACGTAGCCTACGTGACCTGGCAGCTGTACTACTCTGACCTCTAGTTTGAGCTCTAGCTTGACCTCTGTCACCTTTGATCTCTGACCCACAGGGTCCTCCAGGACTACCAGGGTTGAAGGGAGATCCAGGCAGGAAGGGAGACAAGGTGACAACACACACACAGACCCACAGACCGCCCCAGTGGTAACTAAGTGTGTGTTGTGTGTAGGGTCATAACACACAGACCCCCCCAGTGGTAACTAAGTGTGTGTTGTGTGTAGGGTCATGGAGGTCTGATCGGGCTGATAGGTCCTCCAGGAGAGTTTGGAGAGAAAGGAGACAGAGGACTACCAGGGACCCAGGGCCTACAGGGACCCAAAGGAGACGAGGTGACACTCACACACACACACAACACACACACACACACACACACACACACACACACACACAGACAGACACACACACACTCACACACACACACACACACTCACACACACACACACTCACACTCACACACACTCACTCACACACTCACACTCACACACTCACTCACACACACTCACACACACAGACATCAATCCAAGGCTCTTGGTCTGATAAAATACTGTGTTGGCCCCGTTCAGCTAAAGCCTGGACCATGTCTAGCAATGTTACTGGTGGTGGGTTCCAAACCACCTGCGTTACACACACATACATTTGTTGTGTTGACGGTGTGTTTTGTTGTTTCAGGGTCTGGTTGGTCTAGCAGGTCCTAATGGTCCCCCAGGTCTACCAGGTCTCTCTGTGAGTATCGCTATCTATTTCTGTTAATATTACTATTACTTAATATTACTATTAATTACAATTACTAATACTATTACTTACTATTACTTACTATTTACTATTGTTATAACTATGTTATGCTTACTGAAAGGATATCTGTGGTTTACACTTCTTTCATCTGTCTTTCCCCTCTATCATTATCTCTTGCTGTCTCTCTCTCTCTCTCTGTTTCTGTCTCTCTCTCTCTCTCTGTTTCTGTCTCTTTCTCTCTCGCTCTCTCTCTCTCCCTCTGTTTCTGTCTCTTTCTCTCTCGCTCTCTCTCTCTCCCTCTCTCTCTCTCTCTCTCTCTCTCTCTCGCTTGCTGTCTCTCTGTCTCTCTCTGTCTCTCTCTTTCTGTCTCTCTCTCTGTCTCTGTCTCTGTGTCTCTGTCTCTGTCTCTCTCTCTGTATCTCTCTCTCACTCTCTCTGTCTCTCTCTCTATTTCACTCTCCCATTCTCTTTGTCTCTGTCTCTCTCTTAGGGTGGAGTAGGGCAGAAGGGTTCTAAAGGGAACCAGGGTCCCATCGGTGCTATTGGAGATACTGGTCCTGCTGGCCCTCCTGGACCTCCTGTGAGTTCCACCTAGAACCTCTGCTTAGAACCTTAGAACCTCACCTATAACCTCCACATATAACCGTAGAGCCACACCTAGAACCTCAACATAGAACCTCCACACAGAAACCTTAGAACCTCACCTAGAACCTCCATATTTAACCTCCACAAAGAACCTTACAATCTCCACATAGAACCTTAGAACCTCACATAGAACATCCACACATAACCTCCAAATAGAACCTTAGAACATCACCTAGAACCTTCACATAGAACCTCCATCAGAACGTCAGAAGATCACATGGAACATTCACTTAGAAGCTTAGAAGCTCATTTAGAAATGCCTCTTCTCCTCTCAGGGTCTTCCTGCGGTGGGTCTTCAGTCTCTCCCGGTGCAGGAGAGAGGAAGGAGGAGGAGGCAACACTCTTCTTTTGACGGGGCCGCTCTGGAAGAGGAGGAAGAGCAAGAGGGGATGGAGGGAGGTGAGGGAGGAGAGGAGGAGAGGATGCAGGCAGACCAGGCAGGGCAGGAAGAGGGGAAGGAGGAAGAGAAGGGGATGGAGGAGGTGTTTGCGTCTCTTTCTTCTATGAGGACGGAGGTAGAGGGTCTGAGGACCCCCCTGGGGACCTACCAGTACCCAGCCCGAACCTGCAAGGAGCTACAGCTGTTGTACCCAGAGTACACCGATGGTACATACCTCTATCACTTTGTCTGTCTGTCTGTCTCTGTCTCTGTCTCTGTCTCTGTCTATCACTCTATCCCTATATCAACCTATCACCTGTTGTAGCCACAGTTCACTATGGTACCTACCTCTCAGTATATCTATCTCTCTATCTATCACCTTGTCAGGAGGTCAGTGTGATGCGGTAGGACGAAGTCAAGTGCAGGACGCAGAGCTAATCGAAAACGTACTTTACTCGTAGGTAACGTAAATAACATAACCTCCACGCAGGGAGGAACAAACCCGCTCACCAGACGACAACCAAACAAACACGCACAAAACCCAGTGGGAGCCAGAGGGTTAAATAGGGAAGAAATCAATACATAATGGGAACCAGGTGTGAACAATAAAGACAAAACAAGTAGAACACAGAAAACATAGATCGGTAGCAGCTAGTTACTCCGCGACGACGAATGCCGAAGCCTGCCCGGGCAAGGAGGAGGAGCAGCCTCGGCTGAATCCGTGACAGTACCCCCCCCCCCCCACCCCTTGACGCGCGGCCCCAGCCGTGCGCCGACACCGGTCCTCGGGGACAGCCAGGAGGACGCGGCGCAGGGCGAGTCGGTGGAAATCCCTCAACATGGAGGGATCGAGGATGTCCCTCCTAGGGACCCAGCACCGTTCCTCCGGACCATACCCCTCCCACTCCACGAGATACTGCAGGCCCCCCCACCCGACGCCTCGAATCCAGGATGGAACGGACCAAGTACGCCGGTGCCCCCTCGATGTCCAGTGGGGGCAGCGGAACCTCCCGTACCTCAGACTCCTGGAGTGGACCAGCTACCACCGGCCTGAAAAGAGACACATGGAACGAGGGGTTAATACGATACTCAGGAGGAAGCTGTAACCTATAACAAACCTCGTTCAATCTCTTCAGGACTTTAAATGGCCCCACAAACCGCCGACCCAGCTTCCGGCAGGGCAGGCGAAGGGGCAGGTTTCGGGTCGAAACTCTCGCCTTTTGTCGCCTGATGGCCCGTTGCAGGCGTACATGGGCAGCATTCCAGGTCTCTTCCGAGCGTAGAAACCACTCCTCCACCGCAGGTGCCTCGATCTGGCTCTGATGCCAAGGTGCCAGGACCGGCTGATAACCTAACACACAATGAAATGGAGAAAGGTTAGTGGAGGATTGGCGGAGGGAGTTTTTTGCCAGGGGATAAAACCCGACCACTCCCCCGGCCGGTCCTGGCAATAGGACCGCAGAAACCTACCCACATCCTGGTTCCACTCTCTCCACCTGCCCATTACTCTCGGTGTGAAAACCTGAGGTCAGGCTGACCGAGATCCCCAGACGTTCCATGAACGCCCTCTAGAACCTTGAAGTGAACTGGGGACCCTGATCAGATACAATATCCTCAGGTACCCCGTAGTGACGGAAGACGTGTGTAAATAGGGCCTCCGCAGTCTGTAGGGCCGTAGGGAGACCGGGCATAGGAATGAGACGGCAGGACTTAGAAAACCGATCCACAACAACCAGGATCGTGGTGTTCCCTTGTGACAGGGGAAGGTCCGTAACAAAATCCACCGATAGGTGGGACCACGGCCGTTGTGGAACGGGTAGGGGTTGTAATTTCCCTCTGGGCAGGTGTCTAGGTGCCTTACACTGAGCGCACACCGAGCAGGAGGAACATAAACCCTCACGTCCTTGGCTAAAGTGGGCCACCAGTATTTCCCACTAAGACAGTGCACTGTCCGACCGATGCCAGGATGACCAGAGCAGGGTGACGTGTGAGCCCAATAGATCAATCGATCACGGACCTCTAACGGCACGTACATTCGACCCTCTGGACACTGGGGGGGAGTGGGCTCTGTACGTAACGCCCGCTCGATGTCCTCGTCAACCTCCCACACCACCAGTGCCACCAGACACGACGCCGAAAGTATGGGAGTGGGCTCAATGGACCTCTCCTCTGTGTCATACAGTCGGGACAGGGTGTCTGCCTTAGCGTTCTGGGAACCTGGTCTCTAAGAAAGGGTGAACACAAAATGAGTGAAAAACATGGCCCACCTTGCCTGGCGAGGGTTCAATCTCCTCGCCGCCCGGATGTACTCCAGTTTGCGGTGGTCAGTCAAAATGAGAAAAGGGTGTTTAGCCCCCTCAAGCCAATGCCTCCACACTTTCAGAGCTTTAACCACAGCTAACAGCTCCTGGTCCCCCACATCATAGTTGCGCTCTGCCGGGCTGAGCTTCTTCGAAAAGAAAGCACAGGGGCAGAGTTTTGGTGGTGTACCCGAGCGCTGAGACAGTACAGCTCCTATCCCAGCCTCGGATGCGTCCACCTCTACTGTGAATGCTAAGGAGGGATCCGGATGAGCCAGCACTGGAGCTGAGGTAAACAGGTCCTTCAGGGGACCAAACGCCCTGTCCGCCTCGGCTGACCACTGCAGTCGCACTGGTCCCCCCCTCAGCAAGGAGGTAATGGGAGCCGCTACCTGACCAAAGCCCCGGATAAACCTCTGGTAGTAGTTGGCAAACCCTAAGAATCGCTGCACCTCCTTAACCGTGGTTGGAGTCTGCCAATTACGCACGGCCGAAATGCGGTCAATCTCCATCTCCACCCCTGACGCGGACAGGCGGTGCCCTAGGAAGGAGACAGACTTTTGAAAGAACAGACATTTCTCCGCCTTAACGTACAGGTCATGTTCCAACAGTCGACCAAGCACCTTGCGCACCAGAGACACATGCTCGGCTCGTGTAGCGGAGTATATGAGAATATCATCTATATACACCACTACACCCTGTCCAAGCAGGTCCCGGAAAATCTCATTTACAAAGGATTGGAAGACTGATGGAGCGTTCATCAACCCGTACGGCATGACGAGGTACTCATAGTGCCCAGATGTGGTACTAAATGCTGTCTTCCACTCATCTACCTCCCGGATATGCACCAGGTTGTACGCGCTCCTGAGATCCAATTTTGTGAAGAAGCGCGCCCCGTGCAATGACTCTGTCATACTAGCAATGAGCGGTAGTGGATAACTGTACTTGACAGTGATCTGATTGAGACCCCGGTAGTCAATGCACGGGCGTAAACCTCCATCCTTCTTCTTCACAAAAGAAAACTTGAGGGGACAGGTGAAGTGGATGGCCGAATGTATCCCTGCCCCAGAGATTCGGAGACATATGTTTCCATAGCTGTCGTCTCTTCCTGTGACAGGGGATACACGTGACTCCGGGGAAGTGCAGCGCCTACCTGGAGATTTCTCACACAATCCCCCTGTCGATGGGGTGGTAATTGAGTCGCCTTCTTTTTACAGAAGGCGATAGCCAAATCGGCATATTCGGGGGGAATGTGCATGGTGGAGACCTGGTTTGGACTTTCCACTGTAGTTGCCCCTATGGAAACACCTACACACCTTCCCGAGCACTGACTTGACCATCCCTTGAGAGCCCTCTGTTGCCATGAAATCGTGGGGTCATGAGAAGTTAACCAGGGAAGCCCCAACACCACTGGAAACGCAGGAGAATCAATCAGATAGAGACTAATTTTCTCCTCATGACCCTCCTGCGTCTTCATCCAGAGTGGAGCTGTGACCTCCCTAATCAGGCCTGACCCTAAAGGGCGACTAACTAAGGCATGTACAGGGAAGGGCACATCAACAGGAACACTAGGAATCCCTAAACTACGGGAAAACTGACAATCAATAAAGTACCCAGCTGCGCCTGAATCTACGAGCGCCTTATACTGGGAATGAGGGGAAAACTCTGGAAATACGATATCAATACACATATGCGCAACAGGGAGCTCTGGTTGAGTCGGGTGCCTACTCACCTGAGACGGTCCACCAGTGCTCTGCCTACTGCCTCGACTCCCTAAAGACCCTCCCCAGCACCGACCAGCAGTGTGTCCTCTGTGGCCACAGTTGGTGCAGGAGACGGCCCTTCTTCTGGTCTCCCTAAGCGCAGCACCTCCAAGCTCCATAGGGGTAGGGTCAGAGGTGCTGGGGGATGGAATGGACGGCCCCTGATCCAGACGTCCGAGGGTTGCCAACAGGTTATCCAGCCTTATCGACATATCCACCAGTTGGTCCAGGTTAAGGGTGGTGTCCCTGCAGGCCAGCTCCCGATGAACGTCCTCCCGTAGGCTGCATCGGTAGTGGTCGATCAGGGCCCTCTCATTCCATCCTGCGCTGGCAGTCAGAGTCCTGAAGTCCAGTGCAAAGTCCTGTGCACTCCTCTTTGTCACACCCTGGCTCTGGGACTCTATATGTTGAGCCAGGGTGTGGATATTCTATAGGTTGTATTTCTGTGTTGGCCAGAGTGGTTCCCAATCAGAGGCAACGAGTGTCAGCTGTGGCTGGTTGTCTCTGATTGGGAGCCATATTTATAGAGGCTATTTGCCCACAAATGTTGTGGGATCTTGTTTCTAGTCTGTTTATGTTAGACCGTGAACTGTCACGTATCGTTTGTTGTTTTTGATCGTGTCTCTAAATAAAGAGTATGTTTGCCTGCAACGCTGCGCCTTGGTCCTCATCTGTTCTAGACGATTGTGACAGAAGATCCCACCAAGACTGGACCAAGCAGCGTGTCCAGGAGCCATCGCCAGGGAGATCTCTAGCAGATCTCCTTCGCCTCCTGGACTGGGTCAGCCGGGTGAGGAAGAGAAGGGCCGGACTTGGAAGCAGAAGGGCGAAAGTCTGGCGAGGGACATGGAGACCTGGTGCCACGGGTAGGAGAGACGCCCAGAAATTTTTTAGGGGGGGCTAACGTTGTGGACGACGGGCCAGCAGGAGACCGCGACAGTGCGGCCCAGCGGGTTGGGCAGAGGAGGGCCGCCAGGTTACGGGGGCCACTGGTCGAAGAGGGGATGGAAGGTGTAGAGGCACGGCGAGAGGTACTGGGGTGTGGTTACCAGTCCGGTCCGGCCCATTCCATATCCCTGCGTAGGGCCAGTGGTGTGTGTCCCCATACGGTCCGGCCTGTTCCTGCTCCCCGTACCAGGCCAATGGTGAGAGTCTCCAGCCCTGTCCAGCCTGTTCCTGCTCCACGCACCAAGCCCTACGGTGTGCGTCGCCAGCCCGGTCCGGCCTGTCCCTGCTCCACGCACCAAGCCTACGGTGTGCGTCGCCAGCCCGGTCCGCCTGTCCCTGCTCCACGCACCAAGCCTACGGTGGTGCGTCGCCACCCGGTCCGGCCTGTCCCTGCTCCACGCACCAAGCCTACGGTGTGCGTCGTCAGCCCGGTCCGGCCTGTCCCTGCTCCTCGCACCAAGCCTACGGTGTGCGTCGCCAGCCCGGTTTCGGCCTGGTCCCTGCTCCACGCACCAAGCCCTACGGTGTGCGTCGCCAGCCCGGTCCGGCCTGTCCCTGCTCCTCGCACCCAAGCCAGGGGTGCGCATCTGTCAGCCCGGTCCGGCCCGTTCCTACTCCTCCACGCACCAAGCCAGGGGTGCGCATCGTCAGTCCCGGTCCGGCCCGTTCCTACTCCACGCACCCAAGCCAGGGTTGCGCATCGTCAGCCCGGTCAGGCCCGTTCCTACTTCCTACTCCAACGCACCAAGCCAGGGGTGCGCATCGTCAGCCCGGTCCGCCCGTTCCTACTCCCACGCACCAAGCCAGGGGTGCGCATCGTCAGCCCGGTCCGGCCCGTTCCGGCTCCACGCACCAAGCCAGGGGTGCGTGTCGTCAGTCCAGCACAACCCGTGCCTGGGTCACCGGTGCCTGGTAAGGTACCGGTCAGCGGCTCCACACTGGAGCCAAAGCGGTCCGCTTCTACGATGTCCGGTCCAGCTCCAGCCAGCGGGGCCAGACCGGACCAGGGGCGCCACGGGGGGATGGTGGAAGGGTGGTGGTCAAGCCCGGAGCCGGAACCGCCTCCGAGGAGGAATGCCCACCCAGCCCTCCCCTGGTTTGTGTACATTTAGGCGCGGTCGCAGTCCGCGCCTTTAGGGGGGGGTACTGTCACACCCTGGCTCTGGGACTCTATATGTTGAGCCAGGGTGTGGATATTCTATAGGTTGTATTTCTGTGTTGGCCAGAGTGGTTCCCAATCAGAGGCAACGAGTGTCAGCTGTGGCTGGTTGTCTCTGATTGGGAGCCATATTTATAGAGGCTATTTGCCCACAAATGTTGGGGATCTTTGTTTCTAGTCTGTTTATGTTAGACCGTGAACTGTCACGTATCGTTTGTTGTTTTTGATCGTGTCTCTAAATAAAGAGTATGTTTGCCTGCAACGCTGCGCCTTGGTCCTCATCTGTTCTAGACGATCGTGACACTCTTCCCCTGTCTGAGGTGGAATAGACGTTACCCCGCCGCTCTCCCCTCCGGTGGATGATCGAATACCGCCCGAAAGCGGCGGGTGAAATCCTCATAGCATACTGACGCTGCGTCTATTCCTCCCCACTCAGCGTTGGCCCACTCGAGCGCTCTCCCAGACAGACAGGAGATGAGGGCGGACATGCTCTCGTATCCCGAGGGAGCCGGGTGGATGGTAGCCAGGTAGAGCTCTACCTGGAGCAGAAAACCCTGGCACCCGGCAGCTGTCCCATCGTATGCCCTTGGGAGCGAGAGCCGAATCCCACTGGACCCAGGTGACGAAGGGGTGGACAGCGGTGTGGGTGGTTGTGTAGTTGGAGGAGGTGTAGGACCACCACCTCTCTCCCATCGCTCCATGGTGTTCTACACATGCTCCATTGCGATACCGAGAGTCTGGATCATGGTCGCCCGCTGTTGGACACGTTCCTCCATTGATCCGGACGAAATGAATGAACCTGCTGACTCCATTTATGGTGCGTGTTTCTGTCAGGAGGTCAGTGTGATGCGGTAGGATGAAGTCAAGCGCAGGACACAGAGCTAATCGAAAACGTACTTTACTCGTAGGTAACGTAAATAACATAACCTCCACGCAGGGAGGAAAGAAACCCACTCATCAGACGACAACCAAACAAACACGCACAAAACCCAGTGGGAGCCAGAGGGTTAAATAGGGAAGAAATCAATACATTATGGGAACCAGGTGTGAACAATAAAGACAAAACAAGTAGAACACAGAAACATAGATCGGTAGCAGCTAGTACTCCGGCGACGACGAACACCGAAGCCTGCCCGGGCAAGGATGAGGAGCAGCCTCGGCTGAATCCGTGACACACCTGTTGTAGCCACAGTTCACTATGGTACCTACCTCTCAGTATATCTATCTCTCTGTCTATCACTCTACATCAACAATGTACAACCTATATAATCAAATTATCAACAGAGCTTACATACCCTCTCTCTCTCCCATCTCTCCCAACCCCCAATCTGTACCCCCCCCCCCCCCCCCCCCCGTAGGTGAGTACTGGATAGACCCTAACCAGGGTTGCCATAGAGACTCCTTTAAGGTGTTCTGTAACTTCACGGCCGATGGAGAGACATGTCTGTACCCTGAAAAGAAGTTCCAGTCGGTGAGTCCACACGATCACACTCCTCTCCTATCCTCCTTATGAGCGAGTGACAAATGACTGATGTCTCTTCTACAGGTGAAGCTGGGTTCAGTAATGTGAGAAGTGATGAATGTACTGTAATGACTGATGCCTCTTCTACAGGTGAAGCTGGGTTCAGTAATGTGAGAAGTGATGAATGTACTGTAATGACTGATGTCTCTTCTACAGGTGAAGCTGGGTTCAGTAATGTGAGAAGTGATGAATGTACTGTAATGACTGATGCCTCTTCTACAGGTGAAGCTGGGTTCAGTAATGTGAGAAGTGATGAATGTACTGTAATGACTGATGTCTCTTCTACAGGTGAAGCTGAGTTCCTGGAAAGGAGAGAAACCGGGTACCTGGTACAGCCAGTTCAGGAAAGGAAAGCAGGTACACTGTGTGTGTGTGTGTGTGTGCGTGCGTGTTCCAGTTTCCTGTGATCCTCCTCTCTCTACGATATATCCCTTTTTCATACTCAATGCTCCCCTCCCTCCCTCCCTCCCTCCCTCCCTCCAGTTCTCCTATTCAGGTTCAGATGGCAGTCTGGTTCACGTAGTCCAGTTGGTGTTTCTGAAGCTGTTGAGCGCTTCAGCCAGACAGACGTTCACCTACCACTGTCAGAACTCTGCCGCCTGGCTCCACACCGCCACCTTCAGCCACCAGCATGCACTGCGATTCAGAGGGAGCAGCGGAGAGGAGCTCACGCACCAAGACACACACTACATCACAGCACTGTACGACGGCTGCCAGGTAATAAACAGACACACTACATCACAGCACTGTACGACGGCTGCTAGGTAACACACAGACACACTACATCACAGCACTGTACGACGGCTGCTAGGTAACACACAGACACACTACATCACAGCACTGTCCGACGGCTGCTAGGTAACACACAGACACACTACATCACAGCACTGTCCGACGGGCTGCTAGGTAACACACAGACACACTACATCACAGCACTGTCCGACGGCTGCTAGGTAACACACAGACACACTACATCACAGCACTGTACGACGGCTGCTAGGTAACACACAGACACACTACATCACAGCACTGTACGACGGCTGCTAGGTAACACACAGACACACTACATCACAGCACTGTACGACGGCTGCCAGGTAACACACAGACAGTTGCATGCACGGAGGCACGCACAGAGACACAGACACATTACGTCAACACACACACACGCAGGCACGGAGGCACGGAGGCACCGACACACACACACACACATACACAAACGTCCGCACGCAAGCACACACACACACAGACACACACACACACACACTATAGATGCTATTGTAATTACAATCTATTACATGTGTAATAAGTCTATCAAGCGTGCATCCCAAATGGCACCTTTTTCCCTAAGTAGTGTGCTATATTCAGAATAGGGTGCTCTTTGGGCAGTGGAGAACCTTGGCTATTGGACCGGGGCATTCAGTAGGGGGAAGAAACCTTCCTAAACGTTGTACCAAACTAAACAATCTAGAACAACACAGAGACAGCATTCGCGTTGAGCAGTGACCTGTCGACCTTTGAGAAGGCGGAAGTTTCCATACGTTTTTATTTTTTATTACGTTTTTATTTTTAAATCTGCTCTAAAACAGTTGAATGGCAGATGCCTTCTATGGAGCTTCTGAGGGCCTAGCCAATGGTGAGTTGTCTAGCTAGATTTATCATTTATCTCCCCAGAGACCACCAAAGAAAAATCCTGATTGGATCTTTTTTTCTCCTCAGTTTTAACCCTTTCCTTTCCAACATAAACTGAAGAGATTTAATCAGAATATCATTGAAAAGAAGAATATAATCAAAGAATATCATTTAAATATGATTGAAAAGATTAAATAGAAATTAAAACAACATTTATATTTAAAAAAACTAAACAATTATTTTACAAATCTTTGGGCCGACTAAGTGTTTATCGCCTTCTCTCCTCTGTGTAGTCTCCTTCAGGTCAGGAACGGTCACACACACACTACACACACACACACACTACACACACACTATACACACACACTATACACACTACACACACTCACACACACACACTATACACACTACACACACACTATACACACACACTATACCACACCTTACCAGCCCACACACACCCCACCACACAACAACTCACACACACAAAACTACAACAACCAAAACACACACCAACACCCCACACACAACCCCACCCCCCAAAACCCCCCACACACACACACCACAACAACACACCTACACCCACACCCCACACCACACCCACACAAAACTATACACCACCACACACACACACACACCACACACCACAAACACACACACAACACCACAACCCTCCCAC